TGTACCATCTTGACAACTGTGAGTTAAAAGAAATCAGTGCGGTGACTGTACTGGCAATGAATGGCATTATCTCGAGTTTTATCAACCTTAGGATGGCTTTTTTTAAAAAAAATATACCGTCGTTTTGTAGTGTTTCCCCTTTTTAAAAGGGTTGCCTTTTTTTTGGTTCTGTTTATATTTGTTTTCACGGTGGCGATAGCATCAAGATCGCGAGAAGTGACTTTGTAAATTTTTCTTGGTATTTTATATATAGATTTAAAAAAAAAAAACAAGAAAAGAAAAGATTGGACAACCTCCAAGGTTCCTTCCAGCCCGTAAAGGTAAAGGTAAAGGTAAAGCTTCCCCTCGCACATCTGTGCTAGTCGTTCCCGACTCTAGGGGGCGGTGCTCATCTCCGTTTCAAAGCCGAAGAGCCAGCGCTGTCCAAAGATATCTCCGTGGTCATGTGGCCGGCATGACTCAACGCCAAAGGCGCACGGAGCACTGTTCCCTTCCCACCAAAGGTGGTCCCTATTTTTCTACTTGCATTTTTTTTAACGTGCTTTCCAACTGCTAGGTTGGCAGAAGCTGGGACAAGTCACGGGAGCTCACCCCGTTACGCGGCGCTAGGGATTCGAACCGCTGAACTGCCGACCTTTCGGTCGACAAGCTCAGCATCTTAGCCACTCAGCCACCACACCCAAGAGTTGACCGAATGGCCATCGTCCTACAGCTTCTGAACTATCGCCCCTTTCCTCCCATGGGCACTTGAAGAGTCCTCAAGAAACCTCTTTCCTGAGACAGGGAAAACGAAGTAGAAAAAAAATAAGCCTGAGCACCAGAACAGCAAGGAAAAAGAAGAAACGATAAATGGAGAAAAAAAAAAAAGGGGGGGGGGGAAAGAAAGACCATCAAGCCAGCTAGAAAACAGATGCTGCCGTGCAATTAGAGCAGAAATTCTTCGCTTGCAACCATCTGGGTATCCGAAACCCCCCTTTTTTTTCGTGATTTTATATATATTTCTTTCCTGGTCTATCTTTTCTTACAACTCATACCATTTTCCATTACAACTTTGCAGGAGATCTTAAAGGATAAAGTTATTTTCCCTTTATGGAAAACCCAAATCGGCAGCAGAATAGAGTAACAGAGTTGGAAGGTACCCTGGAGGTCTTCTAGTCCAACCCCCTGCTTAGGCAGGAAACCCTAACCCACTTCAATCAAATGGTTATCCAACCATTAAAAACTTCCAGTCTTGAACCATTCACACAAAAAGAGTCAGGGGTGAATGGATGGAGCTGAGCATTTACCGGCCGGATGCCCTTCCTGACACCTATGCAGAGTTCGCAGCAGATCGTGGGGGGGGGTTGAGAGGCAGAAAACAGGGCCGTTTTTCATGAAAACGGGGGCCTTTTTGCCCTCCCCAGCCCCCAGGAGCACTCTGCAGGCCTCCCAAACCCTCTGCGCATCCCGTTTTTGCAAAAAAACGGGCCCATTTTTGGTAAATGTTTCACAAAAACAGGACACGCAGAGGGTTTGGGAGGCCTGCAGAGTGCTCCTGGTGCCCGGGGAGGGCAAAAACTTTTTTTTTTCTTGTTTACCTCTTCGAAATCTTGGTGCTTCTTATACTCCGGTGCATCTTATAGTCCGAAAAATACGGTAATTCATCTGGTTTCGATTCTGGTTTGCCTCGCCTGGCCAACATCCCCTTGGCACACTGTACCCAATTGTGCACCACTTGATAAGCCACGGTTCAACAATCCTTAGCTTAGCATAACCTGGGAACCCTTCCTTGATGAAAAATGCTTGCAAAGGAGAAACAAAGGGGAACTGGGATCTGCCTTCTAGGGCCGTGTCCCCCAAGTTTTTGGGGGCACCAGGGACCAGTTCCGTGGAGAAAGATTGTTCTGTGGACCGGATGGGGCTTCACTTTCCGGCATGCCATATCCAGAGACCGGAAGGTTGGGGACCTCTGTTCTTGGGTGCCTATGCTCATACTACGGGCAGAGTTTTTGGGAGAGTGCAAGGAAGGCCTGCAGATGGGGACTGCAGCCAAGAAATTAAAAGACGCTTACTCCTGGGGAGGAAAGCCATGGCAAATCTAGGCAGCGTACTAAAAAGCAGAGACATCACCCTGCCAACAAAAGTGCGTATAGTCAAGGCGATGGTTTTCCCAGTTGCAATGGTTGACTGTGAAAGTTGGACCACAAGGAAGGCTGAGCGCCAAAGAATGGAGGCCTCTGAACTCTGGTGCTGGAGAAGACTCCTGCGAGTCCCTTGGACTGCAAGGCGATCCAACCGGTCGGTCCTAGAGGAGATCAACCCTGACTGCTCTTTAGAAGACCAGGTCCTGAAGAGGAAACTCAAATACTTTGGCCACCGAATGAGAAGGAAGGACTCCCTGGAGAAGAGCCTAATGCTGGGAAAGATGGAGGGCAAAAGAAGAAGGGGACGGCAGAGAACGAGGTGGCTGGATGGAGTCACTGAAGAAGTCGGCGTGAGCTTCAATGGACTCCAGAGGATGGTAGAGGACAGGAAGGTCTGGAGGAACATTGTCCATGGGGTCGTGATGGGTCGGACATGACTTCGCAACTAACAACAACAAAGGAAGGCCGGCCTGAATTGCGAACATACAGCTTTTAGAGGAAGCTGCTGAAAAAGTCACGGGCTGAATATCCCTCTCTACCCGAGTACGATTTTTCTTTTTTCTTTTCTTTTCTTTTTTTAAATTAAGCTTATTATTGGCAAGCAAAGCGTTTTGCTCCTCCGTTGGCCCCGAAGACTCTGCGGAATGCAAACAATCCCGCCGGCCAGCAAAACAGTTTAGTGGAAAGAGAATATTTTTTACTGGGGTTTTTTTTTTTTTGTTTTTTTGGGGGGGGGGGGGGGGGAAAGGGAGGGGGGGGGGGGGGGGGACACACAGAGACCCCTTTTGCTTGCGCTTCTCTGCTGTTAATCAGATTCTAATTGCATTCAGCACGATGCCAGAGGTGCCTGCAACCAATAAGGAAGTGATGGCAGGCAGCTGACAGAAGCTGTCAAAATAGCCCTCGAAAAAGGGGGTCGGCGGAGTGGGGGGGGGGGGGGGGACTTGATGATAATGCGAAAATGAGATACAAAACTAGGGGGCAGAAAGGGAGGTGTGGAAATGGAAACAAGACACACACACACACACACACACACACACACACACACACAAGACTTTCCTCTGGCTAAGTAATATTTACTTAGAATTTAGAATGCAGAGAGAACATTTTAACACTGCGGTCCTTTAAAAAAAAAAAACGAAGAGAGTTGTGTGTGTGTGTGTGGGGGGGGGTAGATTCTGAGAGGGGGGATATTATTATTATTCCCATTTCGCTGATGGGGAACTGAGCCCCCACCCACCCACCCCCGGATTGGATAAGCGGAAGGAAGGAGCAGCAGAAACGGCGGATGTTTTAATGAAGTTAAAAGGAAGAGTCTGGTTTGGTGTAGTGGGGAAGACTCCAAGTTAGAACCGGGAGAAGGTGAGTTCTAGTTCTGCTTTAGGCATGATAGCTGGCTGGGTGACTTTGGGCCCATCACCAGGAGACGGTGAGTTCTAGTTCTGTCTATGGCTGGGTGACTTTGGGCCCATCACTAGGAGATGGTGAGTTCTAGTTCTGTCTTATGCTGGGTGACTTTGGGCCCATCACCAGGAGACGGTGAGTTCTAGTTCTGTCTTAGGCTGGGTGACTTTGGGCCCATCACCAGGAGACGGTGAGTTCTAGTTCTGTCTTAGGCTGGGTGATTTTGGGCCCATCACCAGGAGACGGTGAGTTCTAGTCCTGTCTATGGCTGGGTGACTTTGGGCCCATCACCAGGAGACGGTGAGTTCTAGTTCTGTCTTAGATTGGGTGATTTTGGGCCCATCACCAGGAGACAGTGAGTTCTAGTTCTGTCTTAGACTGGGTGATTTTGAGCCAATCACCTGGAGATGGCCTAAAAACAGCCTGAAAATGACCTGAAAAATGGCCTAAAAATGGCCCAAAACCAGCCAGGAAATGGCCCCAAAACAGACTGAAAAACGGGCCTGAAAACGGCCCAAAAAAGAGGTATGCGCGCGCTGGCCAGCCGGTATGCGCACATGCTCGCACATTCCGGTTTGGGCACTCGGTGGCCGAAAAGGTTCGCCATCACTGACTTAGTTGTCTCCAAACTTTGGCAACTTTTCAACCTACGGACTTCAACTCCCAGAATTCCTGAGCCAGGAGAATTCTGGGAGCCGAAGTCCACAGGTTGAAAAGGGGCCACAGATGCCAGTTCCGGTTCTTTCGAGGATGAGAACCATCTTAAATTCCGGAAACCGACCCTCCACTCAACGCACAAAACTCTTAACCCTCCTCCGTTAAGCGACGCGGCTGCTGTGTTCATCGGACCTCCTGCACGCTCGAAGAAGCCCGAGATGGTTTAATGAGATCAAAAGCCTCCACAGAAGGAAAAAGACTCCTGTATACGAATATTAAAGAGCCAGCAGCCTCACAGCAGGCAATTTTTATTTTATTTTTTGTTATTTCTACTTCTCCTACTCAGCGCCCAACTAGACTTTTTAATCTGTTCAAGTATCTACCAATTTCTACCCAAGAGCTTCTATTAGGTCTAAGTCAGTGAGTCACCCGCTCACCTCCCTCCCTTGCAAAGCTCAGGAGCGCCCCCTGCAGATCCAAGAAGAAAACACTGAAAAATATATATATATCGGAATGGAGAAGATGGATTGACTATATTCAAAACAAATATCGGACTAAAAAGTTCCAAATATCTTATGAATGAAACCTCTCTCCAAGGCTCAAGGTTGACTCAGCCTTCCGTCCTTTCTAAGGTAGGTGAAATGAGGACCCAGTTTGTGGGGGCAATAAGCTGACTTTGTATAAAAATATACAAAAGGATGAAGGCTATTGCTTAACGCATTGTAAGCCGCCCTGAGTCTCCGGAGAAGGGCAGCATATAAATCAAATTTTAAAAAAAAAACAACAACATTTCTTTGGAGACAAACTTTTCCTTACCTGAAAAGTTCTCTGATCTCTTTCACCGTGGCCTGGAAGGGGATATTCCGTACCAATATCTTGGAATTCACTTGCTTCTTGCTGACTTGCTTCCGACGAGCGGTTCCCACGGCGGACCTGGTGATCCGAAAGAGAAGGGCATCGGTGCCGTGAGCAAGGCTGTTTTCTTGGGTCAAGCGTGAGATTGAAGCCACGTCCGTTGGCATTAAGGGGACCTCCGAGGTCTTTTGAGGATTGCAAAGAAGCCAAACCATCCATCATCTAACTCTTCTGACCCAGCTCCCCAAACACGACAAACTCTCTGAAGTGAACTCAAAAGATTCTTTTATTAGGAGCGCCGGCAGCCCCGGCAAAAAGTTTCTCTCTCGCCGTAGGCTAACAAGTCCGTCCGGCAAGGAGATGAATAGTTGTCTGCCATATCTATTCATCTCCGCTTCCTGCCTTTTATCCCCAGAGCTAGAGTGGGACTTCGCTAGCAGCGGTGGCTCTTTCGTCCCAAGGACCGGCCCATAGATTTCCACTGCTCTCCTCTCCTCTGCCTTCTGTGCATCTGCGCGTCAGGCACTGGACCCAGCTGTTCCTCCTCTTCCTCATCAGCCACCTCCAGACCTGGGGGCTGTTGACTCTCCATCACGGATGGCCTCTGTCTTTCTCTCTCTCTCTCTCTGCCAGCTCCATTCCCTCTTCCCCCTCGGAGCTCCCAAGCTGCCCTGATGCTGACCCTGAGTCCCACGCCTCCTTCTCCTGGATGGATCAGCGGCCAACAGGCCACAACACTAACACAGGACTAACACCAGGGACCTATACCCATCACTATCTGGGTCAGATAAGAGGCAGCCTAGCCTGCAACTGGATACCAGGCAGAGGGAGGGGCTCAGAAGAGATCCTAGTTTCTTGGACTGTAAAGGAGATGAAGGAAGACTCTACTTGCAAGATTCACACACTCACAGATGTTTTACAGCCCAAGAAATTGGAAGGGTCCCTTCTGAGCCTTTTCCCCAACTCACTACCCAGGGGTGAAATGCTACCGGTTCGGGCCGCTTCGCCCGAAACCTTTAAAGAAGTTTTTAAAAAGTTCCGACGATCAGCTGTGTCGCGCAATTTATATTCGCTAGAAGGCAGGAAATCCTGCTTTCTAGCAAATATAAATCATGTGGCACAGCTGTTCGCCCCCCCTCCCCTTGCTGTTCTACTTATCTTTGCAGACTCAGGAAAGGCTTCTTAGCACCTGTGGTGCACATGCGCGCAAAGCACGCGCAAAACAAACCAGTAGCAGACTTCAGAGCATTTCACCCCTGCCATTATCTAGCTACGGGCTAAGCCAGTGAGAGCTAACCTTTTTGCCATCGCATGCCAGGAAGGAGGGGGGGGCGGGGAGGTTCGGCACATGCGTGCCCACACCCATATTTCTATGCATGCGCGCGCAAACCCCCCTCCCCCCCTGCTCCTGGGACATGATGGCCCGGTAGGCCCGTTTTTCTTTCTCACCTGGCTCCAGATCTTCTCTATGCATCTGGGGAGGGCGAAAACAACCTTCCCCACACCCTCGGAGGCCCGAAATGGCCCATTTCCCAACTCCCGGTTGAACAGTGACATTTTTTGCTGTCTCCAGCCTCCAGAGCCTCTCTAGGCATGCCCACTGATATGGCTACGCGTGCCACCTGTGGCACGCATCCATAGGTTCGCCATCACGGGGCTAAGCTGTCCTTTATCTGATTGTTCCCTTGGCAGCATCTCTCCACCCAGTCTCCCATGGTCTTCCCACCTTAGCAGCAAGTTATCTGAGACCAAAAAGCCCACTTCCACGCCTGACAAAGTCTTGGTGGAATTTGGTATCCGACCCTCCCAAAGTTAATTGCCAAGGTCAAATTTACACGCCGCAGAAAAATGCTTGGATGGAGAGTTTCTCCAGACAGGAGACGGAGCACAAGTCACTTCCCTTTATCAAAACTTACTTGGTGGCTCTTTCCGAGATTTTCACTTCCAGCTGATGGCCGTCCACAGAGCAACCCTGAAAGAAAACAAATTGGGCTGGTGCGGTGGGACGTCTGGAACTCTTTCTTTCCCACCAAATAAAATGTCGCAAGTGGTCCCCAACAAACCAACCACAGAAGCGGATTCTTTGACACCTTGATTGAAAGAGGGACTACCGTATTTTTCGGAATATAAGATGCTCTGGAAGATAAGACGCACCATAGTTTTTCGGGAAGAAAATAAGAAGAAAAAAAAAATCTGCCTCTGCCTACCAGCATCCCTCGGTATTCATCTGGCTATTGTCCTGTCAGTGTGGAGAAAGTTGAGGGCTGTTTGGAAACTGAAACAGTTATTTGCTGTATGAGCAACAAGGAAGGAGACAGCAAGGAGCCTGGGCGTGGCTTAGGTAAACTCTTCTAAAGCTGCATGCTGTTCTGAGCTCTGAAACTAAAACTGAAACTCCTCTCCTCTGCTTGTGTTTTGCTTGTATTGGAAAACCTGCTTTTGGTATTGTATATTTACTTTATATTATATATAAAGAGAAGTTATTGAATTCTGCTGAATCAGTTACTTGTGTGCTTTCTGGATGGGGTTGCTGTTGCAGACTCTGAGACATCCTTGCAGCAAATAGCAAACAGCCAGGTCAGCTTCAGCACATTATTGCAGCCTGATTCAGCACGAGCAGCTGATTGGCGGGTGGATCAGCCTCCCGGAATACCCTCAATCAGCTGTTCCAGGCTGCAGGGATTGCCACAGACCATCGCCTCCTCTGTGCCTTGCATTTTTGGCTACATTCGGTGTATAAGACGCACCCAAATTTTCACCCTCTTTTAGGGGGGGGAAACGTGCATCTTATACTCTGAAAAAATATGGTAATTAATTAGAGAGCAGGATTTCAGCCCAATCAGATAGGTTGTTAACGACAAGGTCAATTGTATGACTGATCAACTAAATCCAACATGGGAGCGTGTTGGGCCCAAGAAATCAATCTCCCTCAACTGGGAGGTTCCCCCCGTTCATTGGTGGCCGACGAGTCTTAAATCCATCACAGTTGGAGGACACCAAGTTCAGGAAAGCTGGTCCTTTGCCAGCTCACAATGAAAGGAGAGCAAAGAAGACAGAGAGATGGAGATCATAAATCAATGTTTACTGCGCTAAATAATATTCCAAGGTGGAAGGGGTCATCCATGAACTCTATTTCAGTCCATTATTCAGGGCCCATCACGGGGAAACCTTGAAAAGCACATAAAGCCCAAGTGAACCAAGAATGCGAACCAGGAATATGCCTAGACAGAGCAAAGGGGGGGCCGATGACTCAGTGGTTAAAGACGCTGAACTTGAGTTCGAGACCCAAGCACTGATTGACAGGATGAGCTCCCGTTCCTGGCTCCAGCCCCTGCCCGCCTAGCAGCTGGAAAGCATGCAAATGCGACTAGATAAATAGGTACCACTTCGCTGAGAAGGTAACAGCGTTCCGAGCTCCTCAACATATTGTTCTGTTGACTAGCCCAGGTTTGAGACCCGAGCACTGATTGACAGGATGAGCTCCCGTTCCTGGCTCCAGCTCCTGCCCGCCTAGCCGTTCGAAAGCATGCAAATGTGACTAGATAAATAGGTACCACTTCACTGAGAAGGTAACAACGTTCCGAGCGCCTCGACGTATAGTTATGCTGGCCACATGACTATGGCCCATTCCCATAGACCACCAGGCAGCGTTACCTGTAATTGCTTGACCGCTTTCTGGGCGTATTCCGGTTTCTTGTACTCCACAAATCCAAACCCCATGGAGAGGAGGTTGCCTAGAAGGAACACCAGAGGAAGATCAGAAACGGATTAATGCTAAAATACTTCCCTGTTCCTTCTCTAGCTCAGGGACACTCAGCCGCCAAGTTCTTGAATTTTGCTCCTTTGACCATGAGGATGCTATGATGGTCATAAGAGGGACGACTCTCACCCTGGTCATCAACTTCTTTACCCCTCCTACCATCGGGAAGGAGATATAGAATTATAGCCAGCCGCAGAAACCGGCTGATGAACAGGTTTTATCCATGGGCTGTCAGACTCCTGAATGAGAAATAGCATCATAACTACGTAGTATGATGGACTGCAGGGCCGGTGCAACGTGTAACCTGTTCACACCGGTGCAATAGGACTGGGTGTTTTGTTAATAGGATTTATTGGGTTAGGGATTTTCTGTCTTCACTGTGAGTTGTATTGTGTTGGGAGGGTGCACTGAGGGAGCTCCACCCAATCTCATTGTACGTATGTTGTACACTGACAATAAAGGTTTGAATTTAGTTGAATTTAGGACGCTACGATGGTCTCAAGCACAAGAACCGGTTGCAAGTCATTTTTTTCAGCACCATTGTAGCTTTGAATGGTCATTAAATAAACGGTTGTAAGTCGAGGACCAACCAGCGGTGGGTTACAGGAATTAAAGTCAAGCACCCCCCGTGGTACGAAAGAACTCCGAGGGCAAAAAAAAAAATCAGAAAAATACATACCGGTTTTATCTTTCTTCTTTGAGACGGTGCAACTCCGCACAACGCCAGCTTTGGAAAAAAACTAGAAAAGGAAAAAAAAAAAGAGGAGCATACTCTTAAGTTTTATTCTCCTGTATTAAGCCACTCCGCTTTTCTCCGAGACGGGAGGGGAGGGAGGAAGGAAAGTAAGAAAAGAGGGAGGGAGGGAGGGAGAGAAGAAAAAAAAAGTAAGAAAAGAGGAAAGGAAGGGAAGGGAGGAAGGAAGGAAGGTAAGAAAAGAGGGAGGGGAGAGAGAAGGAAGGAAAAGACAGGAAGGGAAGGAAGGAAAAAAGGTAAGAAAAGAGGAAGGGAAGGGAAGAGAAGAAGGAAGGGAGGTAAGAAAAGAGGGAGGGAGGGAGGGAAGGAAAAGACAGAAAGGGAAAGAAGGAAGGAAAAAAGGTAAGAAAAGAGGAAAGAAAGGGAAGGGAGGAAGGAAGGAAGGTAAGAAAAGAGGGAGGGGAGAGAGAAGGAAGGAAAAGACAGGAAGGGAAGGAAGGAAAAAAGGTAAGAAAAGAGGAAAGGAAGGGAAGGGAGGAAGGAAGGAAGGTAAGAAAAGAGGGAGGGGAGAGAGAAGGAAGGAAAAGACAGGACAGGAAGGGAAGGAAGGAAAAAAGGTAAGAAAAGAGGAAGGGAAGGGGAAGGAAGGGAAGGGAAGGGAAGAAGAGAGGAAGGAAAGGAAAGGAAAGGAAAGGAAAGGAAAGGAAAGGAAAGGAAAGGAAAGGAAAGGAAAGCCCCAAAATTATTTGATACAAAATCAGAATGAGTGACTTTATCTGCCTCATCTGTTAAACCAGAGAGGAATCAAAATCAGATGAACTAATTCCACTTTATTGTCAAGCTACATTGACAGAATCTTGCAAGTCTGAAAATCCAATTCTCCCCCCCCACCACCTTTACCCCTTGAGAAACTAGGGAGGGTTTCTTCTAAGCCTCTTGCCCCACTCCCACCATCCAGCTGTGGGCTATATGCCCTCTCTTATCTGACCATTCTCTCGGCAGCCTCTCTTCACTCCATCTCCCAAGGTCTTTCCCGCAGGCCATTAACATAGCCGTGAAATCACCGGAAATCACCTCTTTTAGCGTGTCTTCTGTCGTGCTGAAGTTGAGGTTTTTTATGAAAATGGTACAGCCTGGAAGGCTTTCTTCTTCTTCTTCTTCTTCCTCCTCCTCCTCCTCTTCCTCCTCCTCCATTTCCTTCGGAGCATCACTTTTTTCGGAAACCCCTGCAAGAGAAGGAAGTAGGAGCAAATCTAAGGGAAGACATCTTTAGACTCAGCTTAGCTTTCAAAAAAAGGTGTTGTTACAAGTCTGCCCCCAAGGGAGCGAGCAAGGGGGGGTATTCACTTACTTTCCCTAAAAAGTCAAAAGGTAAAGGTTCCCCTCGCACATCTGTGCTAGCTGTTCCTGACTCTAGGGGGCGCTGCTCATCTCCGTTTCAAAGCCGAAGAGCCAGCGCTGTCCGAAGACGTCTCTGTGGTCATGTGGCCGGCATGACTCAACGCCAAAGGTACACGGAACGCTGTTCCCTTCCCACCAAAGGTGGTCCCTATTTTTCTACTTGCCTTTTTTACCTGCTTTCGAACTGCTAGGTTGGCAGAAGCTGGGACATGTCACGGGAGCTCACCCAGTTATGCGGTACCAGGGACTCGAACTGCCGACCTTTCGATCAACAAGCGCAGCGTCTTAGCCACTGAGCCACCACGTCTCTTTTAGTTTCCCTACCGGTTCGCAAATGTGAGTACATGCACGCCCACCTGTGATTTCCACTTACCGGTTCGGGTGAATCTGTCCGAACCGGCTGAATACCAACTCTGGAGCGAGCCCATAGAACAAAGGCCAACCTTCAGGAGGGGCTCAAACAAACAGAAGCAGGTGGTATCCAGTGATTGAAATAGATACTAATGGAACTGTGAAATCCAAAGATTCTCATCGAAAGCCAAGGAATGAATCATTATAACTATGGTGGCGCAGTGGTTAGGATGCAGAAATGCAGGCTAATTCTGCCAACTGCCAGGAGTTCGATTCTCACCAGCTCAAGGTTGACTCTGCGTTCCAGCCTTCCGAGGTCGGTAAAATGAGGACCCAGATTGTTGGGGACAAGAGGCTGACACTGTAAACCGCTTAGAGAGGGTTGTAAAGGCACTGTGAAGCGGTATATAAGTCTTAAGTGCTATTGCTATTTTTCTGCTCTTCCTTTTCCCCTTCTTCCTTCCTTCCTTCCTTCCTTCCTTCCTTCCTTCCTTCCTTCCTTCCTTCCCTCCCTCCCTCCCTCCCTCCCTCCCTCCCTCCCATGGTTAGAATGCAGTATTGCAGACTAATTCTGCCCACAGCCAGCAGTTCGGTCCTGACTGGCTCAAGGTCGACTTAGCCTTCCAACCTTCCGAGGTGGCTAAAATGAGGACCCAGATTGTTGCGGGCAAGAGGCTGACTCTGTAAACCGCTTAGAGAGGGCTGTAAAAGCACTGTGAAGCGGGATATAAATCTAAGTGCTATTGCTATTACAGTCTGAGAAACTAGGGAGGGTTCCTTTCTCTGCCCGTTATGCAGCCGTGGGCTTTGCTCCCTCTTATCTGACCCAAACGCATGAGAATGTGGAAGCAATTCTACTCAACTGCCACCGCCCCCCTTTCCCCCCCCCCCCCCAAAAAACATACCTCTCTGGGTTTGTTCCTCGCCTTCTTTTTGCTCTTCGACCTCTGACATTTTTCTCCCGGGACCAGAAAAGACCCCCATGGGCGCCCATTCGAGGTAGAGAGGGATATGCTGGAACTGAGCAAGGAAGAAGAAAATCAATGCAAAGAAGTTAAAACGAGGAAGGGGAAAAATATTCGGTACAAATCAGTGCAAGGATAAACAAAAAAAAAAAACCCCACAAGATTCGTTTAAGGCAGGGAGCCAATTAATGCTGAAAAGTGGGGGGACGGGAGACTGTTATTCTCAACCAGTTTGAAGATGTGTGGACTTCAACTCCCAGAATTCCCAGGGCTGGCTGGGGAATTCTGGGGGTTGAAGTCCACACGTCTTCAAGCTGCCGAGGTTGAGAAAGACTGGGGTAGAATAGAATAGAATAGAATAGAATAGAATAGAATAGAATAGAATAGAATAGAATAGAATAGAATCTGGAAGGGACCTTGGAGGTCTTCTAGTCCAGCCCCCTTCTCAAGCAGGAGAACCTATACTATGTCAGATAAGTGACTGTCTAAAGGTAAAGGTAGAGGTTCCCCTTGCACATATGTGCTCGTCGTTCCCGACTCTAGGGGGCAGGTGCTCATCTCCGTTTCTAAGCCGAAGAGCCAGCGCTGTCCGAAGACGTCTCCGTGGTCATGTGGCCCGCATGACTCAACGCCAAAGGCGCACAGAATGCTGTTCCCTTCCCACCAAAGGGGGTCCCTATTTTTCTACTTGCATATTTTACCTGCTTTCGAACGGCTAGGTTGGCAGAAGCTGGGACAAGTCACGGGAGCTCACCCCGTTACGCGGCGCTAGGGATTCGAACCGCTGAACTGCCGACCTTTTGGTCGACGAGCTCAGCATCTTAGCCACTGAGCCGCCGTGTCCCTTATAGTGACTGTCTAATCTGCTCTTAAAAACCTCCAGTGTTGGAGCATCCATAACTTCTGGAAGCAAGATTGTTCCACTGATTAATTGTTCTAACTGTCAGGAAATTCCTCCTTAGTTCTAAGTTGCTTCTCTCCTTGATGAGTTTCCACCCGTTGCTTCTTGTCTTGCCTTCTGGTGCTTTGGAGAAAAGCTTGACTCCCTCTTCTTTGGGGCAGCCCCTGAGATATTGGAAGACTGCTATCATGTCGGGGTAGACTATCCATGCACCCTCCGGAATAGCTGGGACCCAATCACCAGGCCTGCCTGCCACCACTTGAGGCCTACCTTGGAGTAGGCCAACTTGGCGAATGCCTTTTTCGCTTCGGTGGGTTCCAGGAACTCCACGATGGCTGTCACTCCTCCTTCGGGGAGCAGGACCCGACCCAGGCTACCGAAAGGCCCGAAGACTTCCTCCAGCTGCTCCACCTTCGTGCCAGCAGGCAGGTTCTTCACCAAAATCACCGTCTTGCTCCGTTCTCCAGCCGCCTGGAAGGAAGGAAGGAAGGAAGGAAGGAAGGAAGGAAGGAAGGAAGGAAGGAAGGAAGGAAGGAGAGGCTGCGTTGCAAAGCTTAACAGTTTATTTGAGAGCCGATCCCTACGATCCTCCCCCCCCCAAAAGGCTACAAAAAGCAAAGGATTTTACAGCCAAAGGGAAGCAAGCTTGCTGATTTGATCACGTCTCTGTTGGTAACGCTTCCCTGCATGTAGAAAGTGAGAAATTTAGAGAACCTCCCTCCCTCCCCTTTCTTTTTTCCTCCCTCCCTCTTTCTTTCTCATCCTTCCTCCCTGCCTCCTTCCTTCCTTCCTCTTTCCTTCCTTCCTTCTTTCTTTTCCTTCCTCCCTGCCTCCTTCCTCCTTCCCTCCCTCCCTTTCTCCCTCCCTCCCTCCCTCTTTCTTTCTTTTTCTCTTTCTTTCTTTTTCTCTTTCTTTTCCTTCCTCCCTGCCTCCTTCCTTTCTCCTTCCCTCCCTCCCTTTCTTTCTCCCTCCTTCCCTCTTTCTTTCTTTTCCTTCCTCCCTGCCTCCTTCCTTCCTTCCTTTCTCCTTCCCTCCCTCCTTCCCTTTCTTTCTCCCTCCCTCCCCTTTCTTCTTCCTTTTTCTTTCTCTTCCTTCCTTCCCTCCTTCCTTCCTTTTTCTTTCTCTTCCTTCCCTCCTTCCTTCCTCCCCTCTTTCTTTCTTCCTTCCTTCCTTTCTCTTCCTTCCCTTCCTCCCCCCTTCCCTCAATCCCTCTTCCTTCCTTGCTTCCTCCCTCCCTCCCTCTTTTTCTTTCTTCCTTCCTTTCTCCCCCTCTTCCTTCCTTCTTCCTTCCTTCCTTCCTTCCTTCCTTCCTTGAGAAGCTCACAACAGAAAAAGAAAGAAACCGGACAAAAAGAAAAAAGGTGAAAGAAAACAACATGGAAAAAAATAGAAAGAAAAAAATAGAAAGTGCCTTATTCTCCACAGCAGATACAAGCACGTATATATTTTATATATATTTTATACATTTTGACCTCTCTCCTAAAACTACATATTTCTTTTCTCTTTGCTAATCTGTTCTTTTTAATCATCAAAATCACAAATTCACTTTTGTTTTTTCCACGTTGATGCAAAAAAGCTGAGACGCTCGCTTTCTACAAGCAAGGAGCTTCAGAACTGCAGGAATGTTTTAACCAAAAAAAAAAAAAACATGCTCGATCAAATTCTCTATTCTGACGGCTTCGACCGCTTTTTGTGACGCCCCAGATTGAGTGAGAAGGAATGAGGGGTTCGAACTCACCTGGCTGAAGGAATCCAGGCTGACTCCGTTGTCAAGCAGGAACCGGCGCACGTTTTGAACGAGCTCGGTTTCCCCAAGTGCCACCCTCACGGCCACACTGCCCTTGCCTTCCTGCCAAGAGAAAAAATGAAGTAAGAGGCATCCAATTTTGGTCACCCACACTATAAAAAAAAGACGTTGAGACTCTAGAAAGAGTGCAGAGAAGAGCAACCAGGATGATGAGGGGACCGGAGGATAAAACCTACGATGAACGGTTGCAGGAACTGGGCATGGCTGGTCTAGTGAAGAGAAGGACTAGGGGTGACAGGATAGCATCTTCCAATATTTGAGGGGCTGCCACAGAGAGGAGGGGGTCAAGCTCTTCTCCAAAGCACCTGAAGGCCAGACAAGGAATAATGGATGGAAACTGATCAAGGAGAACTTCAACCTGGAAATAAGGAGGAGTTTTCTGACAGGGAGAACAATCAACCGAAAGAACAGAAGTTGCCTTCAGAAGTTGTTGGAGCTTCATCACTGGAGGCTTTCAAGAAGAGATTGGACTGCCATCTGTCAGAAATGGTGTAGGGTCTCCTGCTTGAGCAGGGGGTTGGACTAGAAGACCTCCAAGGTCCCTTCCAACTTCGTTAATCTGAATCTATCTAAGATGATCAAAGGTCTGGAGACTAAAACATACGATGAACGGTTGCAGGAACTGGGCCTGGCTGGTCTAGTGAAGAGAAGGACCAGGGGAGACAGGATAGCATCTTCCAATATTTGAGGGGCTGCCCCAGAGAGGAGGAAGGGGGTCAAGCTATTTTCCAAAGCACCCAAAGGCCAGACAAGGAAGAATGGATGGAAACTGACCAAGAAGAGATTCAACCTAGAAATAAGGAGGAATTTTCTGACAGTGAGAACAATCAACCCATGGAACAGAAGTTGCCTTCAGAAGTTGTGGGAGTTTCATCACTGGAGGCTTTCAAGAAGAGACTGGACTGCCATCTGTCAGAAATGGTGTGGGGGTCTCCTGCTTGGGTGGGGGATTGGACTAGAAGACCTCCAAGTTCCCTTCCAACTTCGTTAATCTGAATCTAAGATGATCAAAGGTCTGGAGACTAAGTTGCACTTCAAACAAACAAACCACGACAAAAAAACCCCCCCACAACAACAACAACTCACGTGATCCAACACTTGACTCTTGGTCGCGTTGTATTTGTGCGCCACAGCGTCTGCCACGGCATTCGTTCCCATGAAGAGGGTGTTCCAGTTGTGAGAGCTGGGGTGGAGGACAAAGATTGTGAGTTCTGCTGTTTGGGAGGACTGGAAGAATAACGTTCCCAAAGCGAAGGAACGGAGTTGCGAATGTGTCACAATTTGCAGAAATGGCTGAAGCGTTCTGTTTGATCCGAGAACCAAGAAGGCAATTTTTGTCTCCCTCCCTCTCTCCCTCTTTTCTTTCTTTCCTTCGTTTTTCTCTCTCTTTTCCCTCCCTCCTTCTTTCTTTCCTTCCTTCCTTCTTTTTCTTTCTTTCTTTCCTTTCTCCTGCCGTCCCTCTTTTCTTTCTTTTCTTTTTCTCTCTTCCTCTTTTTTTCTTTCGTTTCATTCTTTCTCTCTTCCTCCCTCTCCCTTTCTTTCTTTCCTTCTTTTTTGTCTTCCTCCCTCCCTCCCTCTTTCTTTCCTTCCTTCCTTCCTTCTTTCTTTCCTTTCTCCTGTCCTCCCTCTTTTCTTTCTGTTTCTTTTTCTCTTCCTCCCTTTTCTTTCCTTTCATTCTTTCTCTCCCTCCCTCCCTCTCTCTTTCTTACTTTCCTTCTTGCCTTCCTTTCCTTTCTCCCTCCCTTCCTCTCTCTCCCTTTCTCTCTCCAACCCAACCCAACCGAACCCAAAAGCTTGAACTTTTCATTCAAGCGAAAAGTCCACGCAAGGTTTCCAGACTTTTCAAGATTTGTTCTTGTTGCTTGGTCAGAGAACAATCAACAAGAAAATTTCCTGATAGTGAGAACAATTAATCAGTGGAACAACTTGCCTCCAGAAGTTGTGAATGGCTCCAACACTGGAAGTTTTTAAGAAGATGTTGGACATCCATTTGTCTGAAGTGGTGTAGGGTTTCCTGCCTAAGCAGAGGGTTGGACTAGAAGACCTCCAGGGTCCCATCCAACTCTGTTATTCTATTCTATTCTATTCTATTCTATTCTATTCTATTCTATTCTATTCTATTCTATTCTACTCTATTCTATTCTATTCTGAATATATGAAAACTCTTGATATAAACAAAAGAGAGAGAGAGAGAGAGAGAGGGAGGAAGATAACTTATGAAGGCACCAACCTCAAGCTGTTTGCTTTATCTTTTGAGGCCTTTTGCTTCTTGTACGAAGACGAGCCTGCAGCATCTGAACTCTCCGCTTCTTCCTTCTTGATGGTTGAAGGCAATACGTGCAACATTCGGCCCTGAGAGACAAAAGAGAAAATTTGAAATATCGATCCTGGAAATGGAACGAGCGGGAAGGCCCAAAGTTATCTTGGATCCCTAAGTTTCGGAAAATCTCTGCAACTGTCAGGCACCAAAACCTAAGAAAGACACGCTGAGGTTTTTCTAAGCAATTTTTTAATTTAATTTAATTTCCAATTTATATACCGCCCTTCTCCCTGAGGACTCAGGGCGGTGTACAGCCAAGATAAAAAACATAGAATACAAATATTAAAAACATTTAAAAATATATATAAATTTTGGCCCAAAAGTTAAGAATCACAGACTGATTAAAAGAATTTAAAAATTTCTTCTTAAACCAACCCGGCTTGCTGGAAAAGATGGGTTTTATTTTCTTTTATTGTTCTTTGCCTTGAATCTTCCCAACTTCTGTGCAGTTTTCTTTATTGCTCTTTGCCTATAGACTGAATCTTGCCCGCTTCTACGCAGTTTTCTTTATTGCTCCTTGCCTATAGACTGAATCTTGCCAAATCAAAGCACCATAAGACATATCCTCTGGGAATTATGATGGAGGAGTTATCTTCACCCTCTTTCACCCATAAAAACTACTTGTACTGCAAAGGATACTTATAAGTTGAATCTGATCCTCATTCCATAACCAAATGCTATTATAATATAAGCATTTACACTGGTCCCTCAGTGGAGCCCCAAAATAAGTTTTCAATATATGGGGAACCCAAGAAAGAATCTATAACTGCCCACAGGGTGGATAAAAATCAATGATTTTTTTTAAAAAAATCATAAAAATCAGATTTTTTAAAATTTAAATCGGATTTTTTTTTTATTTAAATCGGATTTTTTTTATTTTTATCGAATTTATTTTAATAAAAAACTTTTGGGGTAAAAATCTATCATAAGATAGTTTTCTATTTAAGATACATAAATCATTTAGTTTATTCAGCATGAAATGGAGCTTAGTTATGTAGCATGAGGCTGTATATTCTGCAACACTGGGACTATCGGTGAGTCAAGAGTGGGTCAAAGGAGCAGCAGAGATGACAGTGGCTCTTTCAAAATTAGGATTTAAATCGAGTTGATTTAAATCAAGCCTTTTTACTAGTGATTTAAATCATGATTTAAATTGTGATTTAAATCAACTCGATTTCAATCAAATCCACCCTGACTGCCCAGCTCATCCTCTGTCTGACTCCCAGTGCCTGGGGGCAGCCATGTAAGACCTGCAGCGTAGAGACATCGATCAATAAATTTGTACCTGGAACACCTGTCCATCCACTTCTGCAAAGGCCTTCACAGCATGCTCAGGAAACATGTAGGTGACAAACGCAAAGCCTTTGGGCCTCTTGGTCAGGCCATCAATAGGGAAGTGGATCTCGGAGAGAGGCCCTGTGTGTGGAATAACGGATTCATTTGGAAAAAGGTTGCGGGAGAGGAAGTACTCGGGAGGAAGGCAACGTTAGACTATAATAGTTTTGATAGAACAGTTGGCTGCTTTCTTGCTGTTGTTTCGTTATCCAACTAGGTCAGCGGTCACCAACTGGTGGTCCGTGAGAAAATTTTGGCGGTCCACAGAAAAACTGTTTGCATTTTTTATCTTGCACTAAATCAGGGGTCCTCAAACTACGGCCCCTGGGATGGATATGTGCAATGAAGGTTTGTGTTGCTGCAGAGTCTCCCCCTTCGGGGTCTTTTTGTGTGGGTCGGAGGGGGGCAGAAATTCCTACTTGGGGTCTGTTTCGGCCTCCTGGTGGGGGGCTTTGGGCGAAGGCTGGAGGGAAGCGCCACTGGTGGTGATGAGCCAGAGGGCCTCGTTCCAGTGGGACTGCATCATGGCCTGGAACTGGCTGACCATCTCAGCCCGCTGAGCCTCCAGATGCCTGTACCTGGCCTTGCACTCCTGCAGGTCTTCCCTCTGCTTGGAAAGCCTATGTTCCTAGTCCTCAGTGAGGTGTTTCTGCTGAGCCTCCTTCTCGGCCAGATCCAGTTTGAACTGAGCTGTTTTGCCAACTCTTTCTCGTGGTGGCTGCTTAGCTCCAACAACTGCTTCCTGTTGGGACCCTAAGGAGCCTGGGTGGGCAAGTGAGGAGTGGCGGGGAGGGGAGGGGTGAGTAGAGGCCGGCGAGGCGCTCCTCAATGTGAGTGACATCGAGTTGGCCACACCCACCAGTCACATGACCACCTAGACACGCCCACCCAGCAAGTCATTAAGCAGATCATATTAATGGTCCACGGGATTTTAAATTATGAATTTAGTGGTCCCTGAGGTTGGTGACCCCTGAAGTAGGTGACATCATTAATGCTAGAAGGGAATGAGGTTGCAAGGAGGAGGAGGAGGAGGTGGAGAAGGAGAAGGAGGAGGAGAAGACTGTGGGGTCCTTGGTGCTCTCTGAGCTTGGCTGATTTCTTGGAGACATTTCATTACCCAACTCGGTAACATCATCAGTGCTAGAAGGGAGTGGGGTTTGCTCTCATCTTATATACTACCCTGTACTACCCAAATAAGGCCAAGCGCTTATTTCAGGGTTCAAAAAAAATATAAGACAGGGTCTTATTTTTGGGAAAATACAGTAGAGCAGGCCCCCCTCTTTATTAGCGCTGATGTTACTTGGTTCACTAATAAAATCCTCAACCAATGACCACCACGGTCCAAAGTTGCTAAGCTATGTTGAAATCTTCAAGAGGATCTTTCCAGTTTTTGGGAACCACCTTTTGGAAAAGAGGCTCCAAGCCCCACAAAATAGTGGGGCGATTTACCGTGTTTGGCAAAGATGGCCTCCAATTCTTCTTCCGTGCAGGTGTAAGGAAGGTTCCTCACGAAGAGCCTTCCGGATTCCGAGAGGTCTTCTTCCTCCTCATCGTCTTTTTTGGTTCTCTGCCAAACCTGGCCGGGTCCCTTCTCAGAGGGCTTCCCCTTAGCGCCCCTCTCTTCTGGAAACAGCTCAATGTACCGACCGCCTGTCAGGTGAAATGCAGAATACAGGTTAAGTCCTCGACTTGCGACCGCCATCAAGCCCCAAGTTCCTGTTGCTAAGGAGCGAGACATCGGTGAAGTGACTTTCGCCCCATCTTACGACCTTCCTTCCCGCAGTTGTTAAGCGAGTCCCTGCGGTTGTTGTTGTTTTTTCAAAACAATTTTTTTAAATTTTTTAAAAACACAAACATACATCTTTTCAGAATGAGTCATTGAGCCGGTCAAAGCTGGCTTCATTTGGGAACGTGCCAGACATGAAGCTCCTAATAAATAAATAACTGGATTTCTTTGGAAGTTTGGCTCAAAACTCATGATTTAATTAGGGCATCCTTCGGGAGGGGGGGGGGGGGGAGTCACTTAGCCCAAATAATTTTTTCCTAGTCAAAAAAAATAAAAATAAAAATCAGGAGACTCACCCATGTATTCTCGATCCCTCTTTAGGGCTTTCTGTTGTTCTTCCTCTGTGTTAAAATCGACGAATACGTAGCCTGTGGAATTTGAAAATTATTGATAATTCTAATTATTTAGAGAATGTAAAAGTGCTGGAAACAAGAGAAAAGGAGGAAACAGCACGCTATCCATTTGAATTACAGTTTAGGAAGACAGCATTATTACAAGCATAAAATTGTTTTTCTTTTTCATCCAGAGTCGTACACACAAACACACAAAAATACCTATGGCAGACTGCATCATTTATGATAAAGGTTTTGGTCTTAAATTGATTATGCAATGGAGCCCTTAACACGCACACCTACACATTAGAGTAATAAAAATAAACAAGCAAATTTAAAAGGAAGAAAGGAAGGAAGGAAGGAAGGAAGGAAGGAAGGAAGGAACGAAGGAAGGAAGGAAGATAAAACTATAACCTACTTCAAGATGGGATTGTATAGGAAGCTGTATGACGCTATTGTTAAGTGTGCAATAATGCTAAGTAATAAAGCTGCAATCTTATTCGGAATCCCAGAATAAGTACAATGGACTGGGGAATTCTGGGATTTGATGCCCACATGTCTTAAAAGTTGCCAAGTTGGAAAAACACTGCTCTAGTCTAAATGATCTTAAACAAAGATGCATTGCCACATGTATCGCGATGGTCCAATGTTAGCCCACTCCCTTTAAAGTATTTTACTTATTACAGATTTCTCATTTTTGGTGCTCCACCAAAAATATTCTCTTTGGCTTTGCCGGAAGTTCATGAGCAAGCAGCATAAATTATGCAAGATGATAGATGTATCTATCTATCTCCCACTGAACTGGTAGTAACAAATTTTACATTTCATCACTGGGCCACACCCACGATGGCCACGTCTACCCAGCAACCCCTTGCTAAAATTTTTTGAAGCCCACTCCTGGATATGCTCCCTACGACCTGTGCAAAGCTCTCTTAACAAACAAACAAACGGTAAGTAACCATCTAAGAGCATAAATGACAAAAACCCTCGTTATCACCTGTCTTGTTCCCGTGTGCGTTCCTTGCAATCCGGATGGCCAGGGGCCGAAGTGGCACGAAAAACTCTTTCACGTTTTGCTGCGTCCGTAAAAGGTAGACAAGCATGAAAAAGGCAGTTAATTCTAGAGCCAACCCACATCCCCGCTTTATGACGCCGCGATCTTCGAGAAAGTCCTCCAATATTGTGGCTGGTTTGCAGATGATACAAAACTCGGGTTTAAAACATAAAATCATAACGTTGGAAGAAGTGGTGGGTTGCTCCTGGTTCGCACGAACCAGTAGTAAAAATTTGTAGTAGTTCGGAGAACTGGTAATAACATTGGCTGACCACGCCCCCGAAACCGGTCCCCGGCCCGGTCGCCGCTCGCTTACCCCGCCCACCTCATCAGAAGCTTTTTTAAAAAAAACTTTTAAAAGCATTTTTTTCTGCAACTTCTTCGGCCGAGGAGGTTGTAGGGGAAAAAAATTTGCTTTAAAAGCCTCTGGCGATCCCAGCTGAGTTGCCTGATCGTCAGAGGCTTCTAAAAGCATTTTTTTCTGCAACCTCTTAAGGTTGTAGAAAAAATGCTTTTAAAAGTAAAAAAAAAAGAAAAAAAAATTGGCCACACCCACCCAGGCACATTACCCCTCCTCCAAGCCACGCCCACAAAATAAGCCACGCCCACCGAACCGGTAGTAAAAAAGTTTAGAACCCACCCCTGGCTGGAAGGGATCTTGGAGGTCTTCTAGTCCCACACCCTACTCAAGCAGGAGATCCTATACCCGTGTTGGCGAACCTACGACATGCGTGCCGGAATACTCTTGATTGGCCCCGCCCACCCCTCCCCTCCCCTCCCAGGAATTACCACGCGGCCAGCTTTGGATGCAGGTAAGTGCAGGGTGCACGCGGAGGCTTGGCGAGGGTGAAAAACAGGCCTACTGGAAGTTCGGGAAGGCTGGAAATGTTTCCAGTCTCCAGAGAGCCCCTGGAGCCTGGGGAGGCCGGTTTTGCCCTCCTGGAGGCTCAAGGAAAGCCTCCGGAGCCTGGGAAGGGCAAAAAACCACCCCTTCCCCCCATGGTGCAGGAGGCTGACCACCATGGTCACGCCCACCCAGCAACCGGGCAGAGAACCCCTTGCTAAAATTTTTGAAGCCCACCCCTGCACACAGGACTTAGATGGGTTAGAAAGGGGCTTTAATTACCTCTGTGACATTGAAGGGGGCACCCCGCATTTTCACTGTGAATGCTGTGGTGGGCTCACCGGCTGCGTCTGATCTGTTTTCCTAAGTAAGAAATACAAAAACAAAAAACATCTGTGTTTTATTTCTAACCGGAGGCATTTCAACAACTGGTAGCGTAAGAAACGGCCTTTGTTAAACCCAACAATTGAATATATAATTCTTCTGGTCGAAGGCATGCAGGCAGTCCTTGATTTATGACCACAAAAAACCGAGGCCAATGTTTTTGTTTCTCAGCAAGACAAATTGTTAAGTTTGGTCCCGTTTTATCTCCTTTCTTGTCGCAGACGTTAAGCGGATCACTGCAGTTGCAAAGCGAGTAACACAGCTGTTAAGCTGAATCCGGCTTCCCCCAACTTTGACTTTTCTGGCCAGGAGGTCGCAAAAGGGGATCCCGCAACCTCGGGACACTGCAACGGTCATAAATACGAGCCAGTTGCTAAGCACCTGGATTTCGATCCTGTGCTGCGGCGGTTGTAAGGGTGAAAAACAGTCATAAGTCCCATTTTTCAATGCCGTTGTAACTTCGAGCGGTCATTAAATGGAACTGTTGTAAGTCCGGGGCTACCTGTGCATGCTTCAATAGATAAAAAGGCGAAAATCTAAAGTTTGGGGAAAGTTAAGAACTGGATCACGGACCCTGAAGAATGTTTTGAATATTCATAGACTGGACATAGACATGGTAACAGGTCAGCCAATGGGGACTGTTTGGAAACTGAAACAGTATTTGCTGTGTGAACAACAAGGACCCAGTTTGTGGGGGCAATAAGCTGACTTTGTATATACAAATATACAAAAGTATGAAGGCTATTGCTTAACGCATTGTAAGCCGCCCTGAGTCTCCGGAGAAGGGCGGCATATAAAAATAAAATAAATGAATAAAATAAATAAATAAGGAGCCTGGGCGTGGCTTAGGCTTAGCTTAACTGCCCTGTATAGAGGAGGTTCTCTTTGTCTGTATTAAGCGCTGAGTTCTGAAACTGAAACTAGTCTGCTCTCGGAATGGGAATTGAAACTGAAACTGAAACTCATCTCTGCTGTTCTCTCCTCTGCCTGTGTTTTTTGCCTGTAACTACTACCACGTTGGAAGACTCTGCTGTTGGTATTGTATGCGTTATTATGTATATGAAGAGAAGTTAATGAATCCTGCGGAATCAGTTACCTGTGTGTGCTTTATCTGAAGGTGCTTTCTGCAACAAGCTCTTGACAGGACATACCTGTGATGTCATTTTGGTACCCTTGGTGTCCTCCGTGAGATTCTGGACCTTGACTTTTCCCGTTAGCTTGGTCTTGGTGTCAGAAACAGCACCTGGCTTGAGGCTGGTCTTCTTTTCCATCTCTTCTTCTTCTTCTTCTTCTTCTTTTTCTCCTCCATCAGACGCCTCACTGTCCATCTCCTCGTCCTCGCTCTCCTCTGCCGACGAAGGCGAGGATTCGTCCCCCTTCACGACTTTGGATCGCAAATAATCCATGTCGGAGAGCTGTTGCTGGACTGCTGCTTTACTCGGAGAGCTTTTGCCTTTCTCTGGGGATGAAGGAAGAACAGAACGCGTCAGCTACTCTTCTGACCTAGGCTTCCCCAGCAGCACGAAACCGAGTCCTCGTCCCCATAAACCCCTTTTATTTATTTATTTATTATTTTTTAAATTTGATTTATATGCCGCCCTTCTCCGAAGACTCAGGGCGGCTTACAGTGCGTTGACAGTGAATTCCTTTCCAGCAAAGTCTTTCCTCTCCCAGAGTCTTTCAAGATCGTTCCCAATTACCGACCTCCACCAGACCACAAGAAAGATGTCCAAGAGCCCCCAAACTTTGAAAAGAAGACCAATGCTTTGGAAGTATGTCTATGGCAGTGATGGCTAACCTTTTTGCCATCGCGTGCCAGGAGCGGGGGAGGGGGGGTTGCGCGCATGCTCGCCCACACCCATAATTTTATGTGCCCCGCCCCCATGCATGCATGACCCCCCCCCCCAGCCCGCTCCTGGCATGTGATGGCACGGTTTTCTCTCTTCCCAGCCTCTAGAGCCTTTCTAGGAGCCTGGGGAGGGCGCAAACAGCCTTCCCCAACCCCCCGGAGACTGGAAACAGTCCGTTTGCCGACTTCCAGTGGGTCTGGAAGGCCCGAAAATCAGCTGGCGTGCCCACCAATATGGCTACATGTGCCACCTGTGGCAGACGTGCCATAGGTTCACCATCACGGGTCTATGGAGATTCTCAACCACTGATTGTCCCAAAGATTGCTTTTGGACTTGCTTGGAGTTTTTTATTCCTTTGAAAACATTTCACTTCTCCTGCAAAAGCAAGATTGCTTTTGGACTTGCTTGGGGTTTTTTATTCCTTTGAAAACGTTTCACTTCTCCTGCAAGAAGCTTCTTCAGTTCTAGCCAAAGAAGAGTTAGAACCGAAGAAGCTTTCTGGGTGAGAAGCAAAATGTTTTCAAAGAAAAACACCACGAAAGTCCTGGAAAAAAGACCTTTGGGACAACGCTCTGGGAATTTATTAATAAAATTTCCACCAAAACAGAATGGCTCCATTACTTGAAGCAACCGTCGCATCCATCTCCTCGCTCGAGTCCTCATCGGAATCAAAGTTCAGATAATCTCCAACCACCTCAGGACGTTCCTCAGCTTTAGTGTCATTAGACCAAGTTGCAACCTGGGACCGTTTCTGATGGACTGCCAAAAAGTCTTGAAACGCTGTTTCTCCTTCCAGCTGGGCAAAGATAGGATCGTGGTTAGAAAGGATCGTGGTTACAAGAAGTCATACAATATTTGGGGCAATTCCTTCACCAAGGGCAAAGTTTGAAGGACAATGTCCCCTATTTCAGGATGTAGTTACTTTAAGGACATGAGAAAAAAAAATTGAAGGATCTCACAGGATTCCGAAAAATCTCCATCACTGCCACAAATCTTGGAGAAAGTTAAATTAATGTGGCTAATGTTAATTGCTAAAGTGTTACTAATTACAGTAGTGGCCAACATTGTGGAAACCTTTTGGGAAAAGTATATTTTTGAGGTTTGATGGCTAATAACACCACTTTTTTTTTTGGAGTTTCAAGATCATCCTATTCCACTGCTGGAATGGCTTGGGAATAGCCCAGATCTTAACCCCATTGAAAATCTATGGAGCCGACTAAAGACACTTGTTAGTCAGAAGCGACTCAGCAATAAAACCCAGTTAATACAAGCCGTCATTCCATCTTGGTTTCACATTAGAAAAGCTGCAGAACTAAAAGACTTGGTTCGCTCCATGGGAAGACGTTGTAAGGCCATCATTCATGCTAAAGGTTACCCAAAGAAGTATTAACTGACATGGTGATAATTTTTGCATATCTCTCTTTTTCTATGGTGATCATTTTTGTATATCTCATTTTTTTCCTGTGTGTTTTACTTTTCTTTATACTGTAACTGCTATTCTAATAGCAAATCCTTCATAAAAATTATTGCATTACATTCTTGATTAAATTTATCTTTCCACTGATATATAATTTTATGGTACTACTCCCAAAAAGTGGCGTTATTAGCTAGTTTTAGAAAATACACTTTTCCCAAAACTTCCACAATTTTGGCCACTACTGTAATTGCTAATCTTCTTGACTCAGCAGTATGCAAATAAAATAAATAACAAGCATTTTTTTCTTCTACCTTTTTCTGCAATGCAAGGAATATCGTGACATAGAAAGTTAAGCAATAAAGTAAACAAACCGAAGAATATAAGTAGCAAAACCAAAAGTTAAAGCAAAATAAAAAGTAGCATATTAAAAAAAGAGTCACCAAAATAGGCCATAACCCATTCAGGTACAAAAATGATACACTAGCAATCTTAAAGAGCAATGGAAAGTGATGTTACAAATTCAGTAACTCCCAAAACAAAATGCCCGTGTGGTTTTTTTGTAAAACAAAAACTGCTTAATTCAAATGGTGACAAACATCACTCTTCTGCTTCTCATGGGCATCGCTATCCTCCTTGCAAATGATTCGGATTTACCTCTTTCAATTGTCCTGCTTTGTTTTTCTTCTTTGGTCCATCCTAGGAAACAAAAGGGAAAAAGTTTAAAACATTATATACAAGGAAAAGTTAAAATGAATTTAAAGGTCACTAGGTTGAGGCAGAGAAAAGAACGTAGAATAACTGAGAGTCCTTAAAGGTAAAGGTTCCCCTTGCACATCTGTGCTAGTCGTTCCTGACTCTAGGGGGCGGTGCTCATCTCCGTTTCAAAGCCGAAGAGCCAGCGCTGTCCGAAGATGTCTCCGTGGTCACGTGGCCGGCATGACTCAACGCCAAAGGCGCACGGAACGCTGTTCCCTTCCCACCAAAGGTGGTCCCTATTTTTCTACTTGCATTTTTTATGTTGCTAGGTTGGCAGAAGCTGGGACAAGTCACGGGAGCTCACCCCGTTAAGCAGCACTCGGGATTCAAACTGCTGAACTGCCGACCTTTCGATCAACAAGCTCAGCATCTTAGCCACTGAGCCACCACATCCCTTTTTGAGAATCTTTACCTAAAGGCAATTTGACATGCAGGGGGAAAAAAAAATCTTTTTCTTACTTGTTTCTTTTCTGCGTGGTCTGAATTCTTCGTAGGTTTTTTAGGGGTTTCCTTTAACAGCTGGGGCTTACTCGAATGTTTGCTCCAAGCTTTGGGCTTTGATGGATCCCCAAAAGACTTACATACTTCAACCTGGAAAAAGAAAAAGAGCTATTTATAAGCCCACCGTCTATGGGGATTCTCAGTCATCCAGATCATGATTGTGGAAAGGTACTGATCAAAAGACAATAGAACTTTCTTGGGGTTTTTTCTTCCCCCTGAAAATGTTTCGCTTCTCATCCAAGAAGCTTCTTCATTTCTAACTGAAGAAGAATTAGAACTGAAGAAGCAGCTTCCTGGATGAGAAGCGAAATTGTTTTCAAAGTAAAACAGTAAGCCCACCCAAACCTCTCTCTTGTTTCGTGAAAGTGAATTTCTACAGAAGACATTAGATGGTGTCATCATCTGCCTTACATCAAGGAGAGAGAGAGGAACTGAATCCCTGAAGTTTCTGAATAACAGACTAAGGATTAACAATGTGCCTGAACCTTGGGAAGGATTAGCAAACCTATCTTGTACCTTAAACTCCTAGAAAACTTCCAACAGCCTGAAAACGTCCACAATTTCTGGACCAATTTCAAAGGATAGGATAGGATAGGATAGGATAGAATAAGGAATAGGAATAGGAGTAGGAATAGGATAGGAATAGGAATAGGAATGAATAGAATAGAATAGAATAGGAATAGGAATAGGAATAAGAATAGAATAGAATAGAATAGAAGAATAGAATAGAATAGAATAGAATAGAATAGAATAGAATAGAATAGAATAGAATTCTTTTATTGGCCAAGTGTGATTGGACACACAAGGGATTTGTCTTGGTGCATATGCTCTCAGTGTACATAAAAAGAAAAGATACATTCATCAAGAATCATAAGGTCAACACTTAATGATAGTCATAGAATACAAATAAGCAATAGAATCATTCTAGGAAACAGTCAATATAAATCGTAAGGATACCAGCAACAAGGTTACAGTCGTACAGTCGTAAGTGGGAGGAAACGGGCAACAGATCACCTCCCCTATGCTTCACAGAGGCTAAACAAATTTAAAAGCACAGATTTGGCTCACCGTGACTTTGGACGTGTCTATGAAGCTTTTGTTGAAATGAGACTGGGCGGTTTTGGCGTCTTCTTCCGACTGAAAGCCAATAAACCCAAATTTGCGGAATTTGCCATCCTTGGTGAATTTCAAGCAGCAATCGGTCAGCGTCCCAAAGGCGGCAAAGAGGTGGCGAAAGCGTTCTTCCTTGATCTGCAGGAGAAGCAGTGGCGATCAAGCCTTGGTAGTACAGTGGTCTAAAGCACCCTGTTATTAAGACCAGCTGCCTGCGATTACTGCAGGTTCGAATCTCGCCCAGGCTCAAGGGCGACTCAGCCTTCCATCCTTTCTAAGGTAGGTGAAATGAGGACCCAGTTTGTGGGGGCAATAAGCTGACTTTGTATAAATATACAAAAGGATGAAGGCTATTGCTTAACGCATTGTAAGCCGCCCTGAGTCTCCGGAGAAGGGCGGCATATAAATCAAATTAAAAAAAAAAAAGTCATCCAAGCAGAGCTAAGAAGGCTGATGCAAATCGCCTTATAAGATCACATCCTCTGTCATCTCCTGGATGAAGCATTTTCTACCATGGTGGATTGGTGGGGGAGTGGGGGAAGGAGGATTCGGGGTTCAGTGTTGTCTGATTCTCAGGGTCCACCTGGAGAAGTCCTACGGTTTTCTTGACAAGGTTTTTCAGGAGTGGTTTGTCATTGCCTCCACCCCAGGACTGATAGAGAGGGACAGGCCCAAAGTCACCCCAGCTGGCTTTGCCCCCAGGGTGAAAACTAGAATTCACAGTCTCCCACTTTCTAGCTTTTGGCGCCTTAACCATCAGACCTAACTGGCTCTCAACTGTTTTTGTATTATTTTCCTTCCGTTGTTTTTCTTCCCATTCAATCGAGTTTGATTCTTAGAGACTGCCTGGAGAAATCCCTGAATTTTTCTTGGCAAAGCTGCAGTGGTTTGACATTGTTGCCTTCCTAGGGCTGAGAGAAAGGGACTGGACCAAAGTCACCCAGCCTGCTTTTGTGTCAAAGGCAGGACTAGAATTTGGGAATTCCAAAGCCACCCAGATACCTTTCATGGCTAAGAAAGGATTAGAACTCCCAGTCTCCTAGTGATTGGACCAAAGTCACCCAGCCGACTTTCATACTGAAGGCAGGATTATAACTCCCAGTCTCCTAGTGATTTGCCCAAAGTCACACAGCCAGTTTTCACACCCAACACAGGACTAGAACTCCCAGTCTCCTAGTAATTGGCCCAAAAAGTCGGCTTTCACACCTAAGGCAGGTCTAGAACTCCTGGTCTCCTAGTGATTGGCCCAAAGTCACCCAATCAGGTAGATTGGCCCAAAGTCACCCAATCGGACTAGAATTTCCCCGTCTCCCGGTTTCTGGCCTCTGATACGTTAACTCCTGCACCCAGCTGACCACTCCATACATGCGCCTGCAGCAGGGGTGAAATCCAGCAGGTTCTGGAGAACCGGTAGTGGAAATTTTGAGCAGTTCGGAAAACCGGCAAATGCCACCTCTGACTGGCCCCAGAGTGGGGTGGGAATGGAGATTTTGAGTATCCTTCCCTTGCAGTGGGGTGGGAATGGGGATTTTGTGGTAACCTCCCCTTGGAGTGGAATGGGAATGGGGATTTTGCAGTATCCTTCCCCTGGAATGGTGTGGGAATGGAGATTTTGCAGTATCCTTCTCCTGGAGTGGGGAGGGAATGGAGATTTTGCAATATCCTTCCCCCAGGAATGGGGAGGGAATGGGGATTTTGCAGTATCCTTCCCCTGGAGTGGGGTGGGAATGGGGATTTTGCAATATCCTTCTCCTGAAGTTGAGTGGGAATGGAGATTTTGCAGTATCCTTTCCCCTGGAGTGGGGTGGGAATGAAGATTTTGCAATATCCTTCTCCTGAAGTGGGGAGGGAATGGGGATTTTGCAGTATCCTTTCCCCTGGAGTGGGGAGGGAATGGGGATTTTGCAGTATCCTCCCCCTGCCACGCCCACCAAGCCACACCACGCCCACAGAACCGGTAGCAAAAAAAAATTGGGATTTGCAGCCATCCAATCCAAGCTACAAGCGGCTCTCCAGGTGAAACGGGAAACAGCCAAGAAGCCACGATTTCTACACCCACCGCAAACCCCCCCCCGCCTCGCCTTTTCTCACCCCATTGGGCAGATTCTTCACAATCAGCCGCGACATGCTGGCCTCGGAGGCGGCCGCTTGAAGGGGGAAAAAGCCGAGCCCGCTAAACACGCGTCCGCCTGGGCGCCGCCATTTTGTCCGGGCCCAGAGATCATGTGACTCCCAAGTTTTCTTTTTTTCCCCTCTTCTGCGCCTGCGCGTTAGGAGAAACGCCTCTCTGCGTAGCTGTTTCAAGGCGCCCGGGTGCTGTATATCTCCAAAGAGGAAGAGAGAGAGGATTTTACAGATTCTTCCGGTTCTTAATGAGGGGATTGAAAAAAAAAGTTTGAGGGGGGGGAGGCTCTTTTTTTTTTTTTTTTTCCTTGGATGCATAGGATTTCCACCGTTTTCTCTGCAGTTTAGAAAGGTGGTAAAAATCAGTGTTGCCACAAAGAATCAAGCTATTCTTCAAAGCACCTGAAGTGCAGGGCAAGAAGCAATGGGTGGAAACTCATCAAGGAGAGAAGCAACTTGGAACTAAGGAGGAATTTCCTGACAGTGAGAACAATTAATCAGTGGAACAGCTTGCCACAAGAAGTTGTGAATGCTCCAACACTGGAGGTTTTTAAGAAGAGGTTGGATAACCATTTGTCTGAAGTGGTGTAGGGTTTCCTGCCTAAGCAGGGAGTTGGACTAGAAGACCTCCAAGGTCCCTTTTCAACTCTGTTATTCTATTCCATTCCATTCCGTGTCTTTCTACCTCCTGATTTAGTGAATCTACATAAGTTATTTGGAAGCGTTAAACAGGTTCGAACGAGAACCGGCAGTAGGGTTCTCTTGTTTCTCCCTCTTCCTCTTTGTCCTGTGAAAAACACTTGTTCTAGGCATGCGCACAGGCAGGTCGAGTTTAAGCCAATGCTTCTGAGAATGGTCAGCAGGTGGCGGCAGAGGACAGGAATAGTCTCCAACTAGCTCGCCCGGGAATCGCTACTTAAATATAGGATCTTACAGTAAAAGTATTAAGAAAATACTTTTCTTAAGGAAAATACTGTTGGTTTTTTTCCTCCTGACACGCAACAAGAAACAGACTTACTGAGTGGATTCACAATAAACCTTACTTTTGTTCAACCATGGTTTATAGCTAGTCCTCGACTTATGACAATTATGCTTCTCCTCCTCTTTTAACTTTTGTTCAACCATGGTTTGCAGGTAATCCTTGACTTATGACAATTATGCTTCTCCTCCTCCTCCTCCTCCTCTTAACTTTTGTTCAACCATGGTTTATAGCTAGTCCTCGACTTATGACCAATTATGTTTATGCCTCCTTCTCTTACTTTTGTTCAACCATGGTTTATAGCTAGTCCTCGACTTATGACAATTATGCTTCTCCTCCTCCTCCTCTTTAACTTTTGTTCAACCATGGTTTGCAGGTAATCCTTGACTTATGACCAATTATGCTTATACCTTCTCCCCCTCCTCCTCCTCTTTGTTCAACCATGATTTGTAGGTAGTCCTCGACTTATGACAATTATGCTTCTCCTCCTCCTCCTCCTCCCTTTTAACTTTTGTTCAACCATGGTTTGCAGGTAATCCTTGATTTATGACCAATTATGCTTATACCTTCTCCTCCTCCTCCTCTTCTTACTTTTGTTCAACCATGATTTGTAGGTAGTCCTCGACTTATGACAATTATGCTTCTCCTCTCCTCCTCCTCCTCTTTTAACTTTTGTTCAACCATGGTTTGCAGGTAATCCTTGATTTATGACCAATTATGCTTATACCTTCTCCTCCTCCTCCTCCTCTTATTGTTCAACCATGGTTTATAGGTAGTCCTCGACTTATGACAATTATGCTTCCCTCCTCCTCCTCCTCCTCCTCCTCCTCCTCCTCCTCCTCTTTTAACTTTTGTTCAACCATGGTTTGCAGGTAATCCTGATTTATGACCAATTATGCTTATACCTTCTCCCTCCTCCTCTTACTTTTGTTCAACCATGGTTTATAGGTAGTCCTCGACTTATGACAATTATGCTTCTCCTCCTCCTCCTCTTCTTACTTTTGTTCAACCATGATTTGTAGGTAGTCCTCGACTTATGACAATTATGCTTCTCTTCTTCCTCCTCCTCTTCTTCCTCCTCCTCCTCTTACTTTTGTTCAACCATGGTTTATAGGTAGTCCTCGACTTGTGACCAATTATGCTTCTCCTCTTCCTCCTCCTCCTCCTTTTGTCTCCGTTTTCTTCTTCTGGATTATAAACCTAGAACGGTTTCCAATTTTTTTCCTCCTTAGGATTTCCCGTTGTTTTTATTTTTATTTTACTAATTGTCTTGCTGCGACCTTTCAATTCCTTTCAATTCGGTTTGCCGCCCAGCGGTCCCTGTTGTGAGACAGGCAGCCCAGCTCATGGCTGAACTGAACGAAAACTTTAAAAAAAAAAGAAAAAGACAAGGAAGCAGACCCCGGGGCAGACAGGATGGTGGTGGGAAGTTCTGGAGCCACCTAATGCTACCTAACAAGAGACTTTCTCCCACCCGTCCCCGTTCAGATCAAGCTGCCAAGTGGCATTAAGCGTCTGCCTTTATCTAATGAGCTGGACATACGATGGCAAAACCCAAGGGAGCAGAGGTCACCTGGCGAGGAAATAATATTATGGGATGCCTGCAGCCCCGCGACTGGATTCTCACAGGGCAGACAAGAGACCGAAAGACGCAAAGCCTCTTTGGCTGCTCTCCTGCGGATGGGCGCAGCAGGGAAGGGGCGGGGGGGGGGGTAGACAAGCCAGCCGGGGCATCCTTCCTGCTGCCCCTTGCCAAGCCAGTCTGGAGCATCACATTATTAAGCCATGATTTATGAGTTTGGGGGGGGGAGGCAGGATACTGAATGTCGACAACGGGCTTCTTCCCCAGGTCCTTTCCACCCCCAGGGAGAAGAAGGGAAATTACAGGTGGTCCTCGCCTTAAGACCCCCAAATGAGTCTCAAATTTCCGTTGCTAAAGAAGACAGTGGTTAAGTGAGCTTGCCCCCCCCCCCCCAGAGATGGTGAGTTCTAGTCCTGCCTTAGCCATGAAAACTGACCGGGTGACTTTGGCTTAGTCCCTCTCGCTCGGTCCAAATCACTTCATAGGGTTGTTATGGAGAAAATAGGAGGAGGAAGGTATATGTTGAACATGTCTGACCCCTTGAGTTATTTGTAAAAATAACAAAGGCAGGATGCAATATAAATAATAGATAGATAGATAGATAGATAGATAGATAGATAGATAGATAGATAGATGATAGATGATGGATAGATAGATAGATAGATAGATAGATAGATAGATAGATAGTAGATAGTAGATAGATGATAGATGATAGATAGATAGATAGTAGATAGGTAAATAGATGATAGATGATAATAGATGATAGATAGATGGAAGATAGATGATAGATAGATAGTAGATAGATAGTAGATAGATAGATGATAGATAGATATAGATAGATAGATGATAGATAGATAGATTGATTGATAGAGAGTAGAGAGTAGATAGATAGTAGATGATAGATGATATAGATAGATAGTAGATAGTAGATAGATGATAATAGATGATAGATAGATAGATGATAGATAGATAGATAGAGATAGTAGATAGATAGATAGATAGATAGATAGATAGATGATAGATGATAATAGATAATAGATGATAGATAGAGATAGATAGATAGATAGATAGATAGATAGATAGATAGATGATAATAGATGATAGATAGATGATAATAGATAATAGATGATAGATAGCGATAGATAGATAGATGATAGATAGATAGATAGATAGATAGATAGATAGATAGATAGATGATAGATGATAATAGATAGATAGATAGATGATAGATAGATAGATAGATGATAGATGATAATAGATGATAGATAGATAGATAGATGATAGATAGATAGATGATAGATGATAATAGATGATAGATAGATAGATAGATAGATGATAGATAGATAGATGATAATAGATGATAGATAGATAGATAGATGATAGATAGATAGATAGATAGATAGATAGATAGATAGATAGATGATAGATGATAATAGATGATAGATAGATAGATAGATAGATGATAGATAGATAGATAGATAGATGATAGATAGATAGATAGATGATAGATAGATAGATAGATAGATGATAGATGATAATAGATGATAGATAGATGATAGATAGATAGATAGATAGTAGATAGTAGATAGATAGATGATAAGAGATAGATAGATAGATAGATAGATAGATAGATAGATAGATAGATGAGAGATGTGTGTGTGAGAGAGAGAGACAGACAGACAGAGAAGTAAATAAGCAAGCAGGCAAGCACGGAGCCAGCATCTCTACAGCAAATGAACCCAGAGAAGAGACAGCCGCCTGATCCTTCCCACCACCCTGGTACTCCTCCATCCATCATCCTTCCTTCCTCCTGGTTTCCCTCTTTGCTGGAGCCCCAGAGTGGGCTCCAGGGATAGTCCAGGCAACAGCTGCCTTTGATCAAACCCACATCTGGGCTTGCCAGCGCCGCGGCAGAGAGACCGCGCCGTGATCAAAGGTTGGAGCCCTCTGACAGCCCTGATCGAATGGGGGAGGGGGACAGGGAGGGAGAGAGGGAGGAGGGGGGCTGTCGACACTAGACACCTCCTCTTTTCCTTGCTCTCCCCCCATCTCCAGTCTCCAAAATCAGAGAACGAAGGTTCCCAGTTTAGGAATCCTTTGCAAAGATGCCTTCCTTGGAAGTGGGGGGGGGGGCAGAGCCTCCATACCCCTTCCCTCCATCTCTGCCCTCTTCCCCCTCCCCACTTTTACTAATCAGAGACCGACCGCTGGGTCTGGGGTGATCCCAAGTGCAGCGAAAAAGCGAATCTGGTTGATGGGGTGTTGGGGATAGGCGTTCAGGCAGGAACTCCTGTTGCAAGATGGGTTCCTGAGCATAAGAAGAGCGTTAAAAGAAAGTTGAGTAATTCGACAGCAGGTTGCATTTAAGAAGAAGAAAAAAGACTTGTAATATAAGTTGCCTTAGATGCAGAATAGAGTCTCCGCTGATGGAGATTCACTGAAATACAGGCAGTCCTCAAGTTATGACCACGGTTGAGCCCAAAGTTTATGTTGCTAAGTGAAACATTTCTTCTTCTTCTTCTTCT